TGTTGCTGTTGCTGTTGCTGTTGCTGCTGCTGTTGCATGGGTGTCAAGGGTCGACAGCACTGGGGCTTTGGGTTAGCCAGCAGCAGGCGTCAGCCAATTGTTGTTGTTGTTGTTTCAGTTGATGTGTTTATAAACAAATGACACGCAATCCTTTGGGGTGTAGGCGGGCCAGTCTATATGTATGTGTGCGAGTGTGTGTGTGTGTGTGTGACGGCACGTGAGCCCAACTCGTTTTAGTTATTTTGCAAGCAACAGAATTACGCATGGCAGCATGTTTGATCTTTTTTGCATGCTCGATTTGCCGCCAAAAATCTCGGCTTACGAGACACACATGCACACATGCACACACGCACACACACACACACACACACATACCTACACGCAACTAGCCAATTCATTCATACATAGCAATGCTCTATCTCTCTCTCTCTCTCTTTTGCACTCCCAGCTAGCTCTCTCTCTCTCTCTATGTCTATGCGTGCGCCACATTCTGCTGCGTGCCACAAAAGTGCAGCAATGTCGCTTCTGCCGCCGCCGTCTGGCAGCCAAAAACGCAAAGTAGCGTGTCTCCTGTCCGAAACAAAGAAAACAAAAATTAACCGAATCGCGTAGGCGTCAACGCAACAACAACAACAACAACAAGAGCAACAAAACCAACAACAAGCCGAAGCCGGCCTGTTTTAGTGCATGGCACAATTGTTGCAAACTAATTGAATTTTGCATGTTATATCGAAGTTAATATTTCTGCATCTGGCTTTCAAGTGCAAGTGGATCAGGGCAGCCTTGACAAAGGTCACTTACAACTGGGCAATGTGCTTCGTCATGGGCCGAACTGGCAGCCAAGCCAAGTGTTTGCCTTACAAACAATTGAGCTGACAAGCGAGACGACATAACCATTTCATCACTTAGGAATTGAGCAATTGAGGAAGCTCTAATCGGCTGTTCCCGACTACCAGATGAACTGAGCCCAGACTGATCTGCGTTCGTACTCCACATAACCATGCCAAAATTTATAATTAGTCAAA